CGGGGCAGATATTAACGTCCCCGTCCCCGCCCCCGTCCCCGATTTTATCAATCAGGAAAAACCCGAACTCGAACCCGAACCCGATAAACACGGGTTTTCCCCGTCCAAATCAGGGTAGGTTCGGGTGGGTACTCATGAGGGCGGGTTAGACTGTCATGCCTAAGGGATACCTCCTTTTAGGTTTCATTTTTTTTATATAGATATTCATACTTTTTTACTATATTTTAATTTTTTTCTTAGCAACATATCTATTAAGGGTAAAGTAGAACAAAAATATATAAATTTTTTTTCTACTTTATTAATAATAATTACTCACTTATTTTATAATCATCTTTGATTGTTGAAAATTATTTTACTCTTAATTAATTATATAAATCTCACTTGATTTATGTGTTGTAATCTAAATTATTTATATATTTTATTTTATATTGTTTTCAATAAAATTCATAAAAATACGAGACATTATTTTTCTATCATTAGTTTATATATATATATATTATTTTATTTAGTGATGGCGTTTGGTCTGCTAGAGAGAAAAACATTGTTTACTTCCATTTTTTAAAGAATAACTATTTTTTTAGTCTCAATTTTATTCTCTATATTTAAACTTTTTTATTTTAGTTTTAAAGTTTTTAAAAAAATATTATAATTCCTTAAAGTTTTTATTATATCAAAATTGGTTCTTTAAATTTTTTTTTATGAAAAATGTAGGGAAAAAACGATATTAATTGTTTTGATTGCAAGTTTTATGAATTTATTAAAATTCGCTTATTCGAAATATTATGGATTTTGATCGACAGAATTTTATCAATTTTATGTTTGAAAAGACATTGATTGGGATGAACGTGTTTTTTAAAAAGGTGGAGTATCGAATAAAAAAAAGATAATTATAAAATACTATTAATCTCCGACACACGGAAAACACTAAATTGATAGTTAAATGTGAAGCGATGAGTGTGTAAGTATTTTAATAATTTGGTGATGAAGCATGAGTTCCTCGCCCTATTTATCTAGGAGTAGTAGTGTAGCCATGGCATTGGTCTCATCATGGGGAAAATGGCACATGGTGATGCTACACTCTCGCTCTCTCTCCTCTTCCTATTCTCACTCAGCGTCGCCAGAAGCGTCAGATCCGTAAGAACGCCCTTGTCATTATTAAAAAATTTAACGATCTGAATTGTGGCTCAGGCTCACTAACAAACTTAAGCAATTGCAGGATGAGCCGGATTGCGTGTACACGGCGTATGTTAGAACCGGTTCGGTGCTGAAGGGAGGAACGGACTCGAAGATCGGAGTGAAGCTGTACGACAAGTACGGATACTTCATCTACATTAAAAACCTCGAAACGTGGGGCGGTTTGATGGGTTCGGGTTACAACTACTTCGAGCGCGGCAACCTCGACATCTTCAGCGGAAGAGGACCCTGTCTTGACGGACCCGTTTGCGCCGTTAACGTCACTTCCGACGGCTCCGGTTCGCATCACGGCTGGTACCTTAACTACATCGAGGTTACGTCCACTGGGCCCCACTACTCCTGCGCTCAGGATAATTTCGAGCTTGAGCAGTGGCTCGCTCTCGACACCTCCCCCTACCAGCTTTGGGCCATCAGTAACCACTGCAGCTACCGCTTGGATCAGGCCCGGCCCATCTCCGATAGGGCCGGATCCAGATCTGCCTTCTCTATTTTGGATGCCCGCGCGTGAGTGTGAGTGTGACCAAAGGAAAGGGGTTCCAACTTCCAATCGTTGCTTCCTTTGGTTGTCGTGCTCATTCGCCCTTGTCACCCCTTTTTGTCTTTGTAATCTTCAATAATAATCGCCACTATCTCTATCCATTTCTGGATACATGTAAGAGTACTCCACTGCTATGCTTAATGCTATTGCTACTATTTACTTACTCAACTACATCTTTTTCTCAAGATGGAACCATCCAATGCCTCTTTGTTCTTTGTATTTTATTGGTAGTTCGATGATCAAAACTAAATTTTGGCAAACCAGAATACTTCACATGAGCAACAGTTGATATAACTTCACGTCTGTTCATTTTTTATTTTTAAACTAGCAGAAAAAAAATAGGTACAAAACACGTTCTAATGTTCTATGACACCTAGAATTTTACTAAACTTTGTAAAATAATTTTAGTAGTTATTTTTGGACACCCAATTTTTCAAACACTCTTATTTTCCTCTATCTATAATTCTATCACACACACCACCTATAACAATTCTACCTTTTTTCTCTTTTATCTGTTAGGTGTCGAATAGCATTTTGAGTGGCCAAATTTTATGGCTCAAAATCCTATTTTACACTTCGTGTAAGAGATAAAAAAAAAAAAAAAAACAGAAAAACATATAGGTGATGTAATATAATTGAGAGAAAGATATAGAAAATAATAAGTATTTGTTAAATGTTTGAAAAAATTGAATGTCCAAAAAATACAACTCACGTAATTTTTGTACTGATCACCGGAGTCCTTCATAGACCAATTTGATGAAAAATGTGACATTGTAAAATTAATTTAGTATTATATATATATATATATATATATATGAAAAAGATTATTACTTTTTTAAGCAAAAAATTAACAAAAATATTAATGAAAATTCAACCATTGGCCTTTTCAAGGTTTATCAATATTTGTATTGATGAATGTTTATTTTGTTAATAAATTAGTGTAAGTACTATTGTAAATTTTTTAAACTTATAACATTCCTTTTAGTTTACAAAATGAGAATACAGTACTCTTTAGGTTTAAAATTTGGTCAAATTATTTTTGATAAAAAATGTTTTCAAATCATGGAATTTAATTGAGATATACGTGTCTAATCCGAATCACATGTATTTGTAATATTTCTTAAATCATGGTCTTTGGACTAATGCATTAGTGTAAGTTTTCATAAATGTGCATATTTGAATATCACTCCCAGCATGTGAATTAACAAACCTAGTGTTCATTTGAAGCTTTTTAGAAACAGATTCCATAAGGTTTATTTCTAAAAGGAAAAAGAGAAAAGATTGTGAGAAAGATTAAAGCAAATGCGTACAAGTTCTATTGTTTATTCCTAGAGATGAAAAATGTTTGTTGACATATCTTCACTTAATTTTTTAAAAATCATTTTGTTTATGGCATAACATGAAATGATATCAAACTATCACCGACAATTTAATTCAACTTTAGAAATGTAGAACTATATGATACTTTATGCTGAAACCTTTCCTTTAGCATGGGCCCGTTGTGTTTCTGAAGTGGATGTTAATCATCCTCTCCACAGCTCATCCACAACACGTTTTATCATTTTCAATGGATTTGAATATCGATCATTGACCATCAGTGTTCGTTCACTTTATGAGAAATACTGCACTCTTTTTTTTTATTTTTCTTTTTTTATACGTGCAAATAGAACTTGGTATAAAAAATAAAAAAAAACTTACAATATTCGCATATCTTACTAATTTATCAACAAAAAAAAAATCACATACCTTACTAAACTTTTTTTTTATTATTTATTAAAATTTATTTAAAAAAAATAGTTGGTCTCACGTACTCTTAATGTCTCCCAAATTTTTTTTATAGTTTTTAATAAGTTTTCATTGATAATAAAACATGTTATAAGCTTACAATGAATATGTTGATACACTCATTCTTTTTGAGAAATGAAGACTGGCAACACATCATTCTTTTTATATATTCACAAAACTCCATTTCTAAACTATTTCTATATATGTCCAACATATTGATGACCTTCATTCACCTCGCTTTTTTATGAGATGCTCTTTGGCCTCCAACAAAGCCCTGCTTAATTCCTCATCCTCCGGTGTCTTTTTTAGCAATATTTCATAATCTTGTATCGAAGCTTCCCATCTTTTCAACTACAATTGTATACACAAAACACATAAAAATGTTTAAAACGCATTGCATTATGTGAGTAAACAAAGTAAGCCTATGTGTGGTTTTACCTTTGCATTACAATCAGCTCTTCTCAACCTAGCCTTGTTGTAGGATGGGCGCAAGTTTAGAGCAGCAGTGCAATCTTTGACAGCATTCTCAAATTGGCCTAATTTTGATCTACATGCAGCTCGGTTGCATAGCAAAACCGAGTTATAGGGATCATGCTCTAACCCCTCTCCATAGGCAACACATGCTTCAGAGAATTTTGATGCCTTGAAAAGCTCGTTTCCATTTGATCGAGCACTGGCCGCTGCTCTAGCCTTTCTCATCACCTTCTTCACCCCATTATTATTAGAATCTAGCTTACATGCTCGCTCAATTGCAACTAAGGCATCTTCAAATCTGGTGACACATTGTGTGAATACGTAGATATTAAGAAACATGTTCTGCTTTTCAATTAGGCAATTAGAAACTAAACAATAACCTGCCAGCAGCCAAATGAACTCTAGCCTGAATCACCAACAAATTTGCATTAGCTATTGGTCCAAAGAACTTGGTGCACCCATCAACATCAAAATTAGGTCCCTTTGACATTATTGCTTCTGCATATAGGTGCCTACGAAGCTTCAACAATGCTTCCGCTTGCAATGCAAATATCTCCATTTAAGCCCACAATCAGAGTCATATCAGCATGATTCGCAAAGTTCAAGGTTTAACATATGAGAAAACAATACATGATCCTTCTAATCTTCACGTGACACCGACGCAAAACCAAGTTTTTAAATTTACTAATAAAAATGTAAGCAACACACTTATTTAAACACATTTCTTATTGACTGAAATTGATTGAAAATCACAAATTTTGATAGATTTGACATCTTATTTAAAGAATATTTCATGATTTTGTAATTTTCAATGAATTTTAACTAATACAAGAGAGTGTGTTGTGATCACTCCTTGTAAAAGAGTTTATAAAATCCGGTAATATGTTAGGTGGAGATTATCCGGACCATAGTAGTCTAGGAAGATGTAATAATTTCTAAATAGAGGCTAGTAGCTGCTAACCAGTGGAGCAGAATCTGCACCAGATGAAATGGCATAGTTGGTCTCCTTAATCAGGTTTTTCCAATCTCCTAACCTACGTGCCACAGTGCATTTGTTTAAATGAAACTGGATTTTTTTCACCTTGGCAATTTCGTCCGGGTCAGCCTCTGGTCCTGCCTGTTTATAATGATAAAGAGCCTTATCTGTTTCTCCTAATCTGTAGGCAAACACAAACTAACAATCAGTGACAACACCCATAACAAAGAAAGAAGAATTGTTATGAGATTCAAGTTGAAAGGAGTATATTCTTTCTTGTGCAAGTGTACCTCATGCTCAAGTTTCCCAATAGAAGATGAGCTCTGTGATAACGAGGCTCTATTTGAATGGCTTGTCTACACTCAAACACAGCCTCCAGAAGCCTCCCTAGAGCCGTTAATGCTGCACTTTTGTTGCTCCTATAGGAAGCTTTATTGGGGTCAATTGCAATTGCAGCATCATAAAGAGCCAAGGCTTCTTCAAACCTCCCATTCTTGTAATCCTCATTGCCCATTATCTTTAATTGTTCAGGGTCCACTCTAGTAGACAAGGTCCTGCACGGAGAACCTGGTTGTTCCTTGCTTCCTTTACTCTCATTCTCCACCTTACGGTCCTTGTTTCTTCCATTAGCACTAGTGTTTTCATCCCTTTGCATGGCATGGTTATGATAACTGGAATTCCCTCCTTGTCCCAGGTTACCTAAATTACCAAATATCATCACGTTGCCAGAAGATGCACGAAGAAAGGTGCTATTTCCCTTTTGGCGATCGCTTATCATGCTTTCAAGTTCACCAGAAATGCCAAGTGCTTCTTTAGGGACCCTTCTTCCATTGTTGACATAACCCTCTGCATGTGACACTTTGGATGAGCCTCTTGCGGGATGGTTCCTTTGGTGGTTTTGGTTAACATGAGAGATTGGCTTGGAGTCAGAATGAGGTGAAGAATTTGTGTGTTTATTGGATGAAGTTGTTCCCAAGAAAGTTGCATCTTTACAGCTACCTTGATGTTTTTTTGTGTCAGGGGTGTTGGAAAACTTTCTATAATTGATTTTGGGAGCAGAAGGCCTGAATATTGCAGCTATTAAGCCACAGCCAAAATTTCTTTGTGTGGAGTTTTTCCCCATGCTCTTTTTTGCTTATGTTGAAGGATGCTTCGCTAAGATGATGAAAGACTGCAATATTCTAAGGGAGATGAAATTGGTTGGTTGGTTTATTACAACTCCATAAATGAATATTCAAGGAATATGAAGGATTGTACAAATAAAGATTGATTCTATGAATTGATGACTTCGAACATCTCCAACCAAGCCACGTAAAATCCAACAATGAAACGCAACAACTACTTCAAACCTAAATTGTGAAGAGGGTAAACACATAATGACCGTTAAGTTTTAAATGTACACACAAACCCTCCTGGAGGGATTCCTAGGAAACAGAATTTCTTCATTTTCTGTTTCTTGCGGTTGAAAAAGGTCAAATGAAATTGCATAATCAATAGAGGACACGAGAATAATGATACACAAATAAGTTACGCTTTTTGTTTTTTAAAAACCAAAAAATGCAATAGTCGGTAGTTGGCTTTCAGTTTTTTAGTTACTCCAACTTTTTTTTTGTTTCAGTTGCTTGTTTGATTATGACAGGAAATGTGCCCTCCTTCATTTCTAACGTCTTAACTGCCGAGACACACAAGCATTGCATGTTTACACGACAACTGTAACAATATATGCCAACAAATGTATGACCTTATTTGTGTATCAGCAATGTGTAATGGGGAGAAAAATAACATCAAATTATATATTTGTTCTGTTAGGAGTTAAACTCTCCCTATGGTCTCATCTCAACGAGGGTTGTATGAGACTTTACAATTAACATAAAACTTCATCACTGAATTAAGGTCCTTCTTTAATCAATGTTGTTAAGGACCTTGAGGAGATTGCTAGCAATTCATCTAAGATGATAAAGGATCTAATTCCAAATTTCAAATATTTTAAGAGTTACTTGTTAATATGTTTCTCTTCTTTAATATCAAATATTGAATATAATATTCATGATCTATCATCTATAATCTATTATAATAAAGGAGATTGAACATTTTGTTCTACAAAATTTTGTATCTAATTTTACTCGTATAACTACTTTTTAAATCATAATTTTTATTTTATTTTATAAATTTCAATTCATAATCATCCATATTTTTAATTAACCACTTATTATTATATTAATTTTATTTTTTTATTTAAAAAAATATAAAAGTACAAAATGCATTTTTTACACTAATATCTAAATAATAATAGTTGATGATTTATTGGTTAATCATGTATTTAGATAGTTTCACAATAGAATTCACCTAATATCATTCTCTTTTATACAAATAGATAAAAGAAACACATTCATTTCATTTTCACTATTTCACACGTTTGTATCCCTCAATTATATTTAAACCATTTTTACTAATGTTGGGTACATTGGATAGAAAAAAGTGCACTACTCACTCCAAATGCAACCATATACTTTACATTATTTTTTTTTTTGTTTTGAAATTCTTGTTCCTCAACCTCTTGTGCAAACTTTTAACCGCCCACTATGTAATTGCTCGCTCTACCTTACTGTTAAGAACCTCATTACCCACACAATTTCATTTCACTTGCTTTCTATCTTTTTACTCTTGAACCATCTTCTTTTCCTCACTATAAATGTCCTCCTTATCTAATTTAACCTCACTTACTTCCTTTGTACTACCACCCATTTTCTCTCTTCTGCCACAGCAATCACGGAGTCACACTCGTCCACCACCTTTGTCACTGTACTCCTTCTTGTTTTGGTTCTGGCCCTTCTCCAACATTATGTGCCATTGTTGTACCATCCGAATGAAAGTGTCATCATGACCGGGGATTGAAGCTTTTTGTCACATTCAAAGGGTTCCCTCCATTTTGTTGAGTGCCAAAATGGCATGCATTCTAGAGGGATTATACGCGGGGAATGAGGGTCATCATATTTTCATGATGCTTCTATGAGATGTAAAAATGGGTTACAACATTCAATTTAATAGGAAAAAAAAACACCAACTTGTTGATATTTGTCATTGCTCAACTAGTAAAGAGTTGGTATCCTATATAAAAAATGGAAAAAGAAAGAAATTAATGATGAGAGGGAAGAGAGTAATGAGTGAAATAGAAGAGATAAATTGTGCTTTAAATAACATTAAATTATCATAATATCCTTAAAATAAATTTATTAAAAAAAGGAAGAATTAGATTCATTGTCCAAAATAATTTATGTAGATTCCTCCCTCTCTATGATTTGAATTATTAAAATAAAGTATCAAATAATTTTTAAATTTTGTAAAAATTTACAGACTTAATCTATATATTATGAACTTTAAACTCAACAGTTGGATCATTGAAATTTGATTTAAAACATGAGTTATTGAACAAAATAAATCTAAATAGACTTATTCCTGAAGTAAATGAAGCTCTCCTCATATATATATATATATATATATATATATGTGTGTGTGTT